GGGTATTGGAAGGGTGGGGGAAATGCTGGGAATACAGGCTTGGAATGCCCCACCCATTCATCTGGCAAAACCCAGGTCAAGCCTTTTCTCTGCAAGGCTTTCTCCTAGAAAATTGATTCTCTTTGGGAAGTGTGCCAGAGAGAATTTCTAGGGACTGACAGTCTTGCAAGGGAGACAAGCATGCAAACTAAGTGCTACAACAGAGGAACAACTGAAGTAGAAAATTTTACTAAATTCTGAAATGGACACATCATTGGTATATGGCGCTACTGGAGGTCCTACAAAGGCAGGAGAAAGGGCCAGTATGTTGGGCATGAGTAATAATTTTGCTTATCTAGACTAGTACTCCCAGGTAGGAACCAAACTGTTTACCAAGATATACAGAATAGTAAAACTGTCCAGGGGGAAAAGACCAGGACTCAGAAGACTGCCATCTTGGCAGCAGCACAAGAAGGGGCTGAAATCCAATAAAATTGGGCAGAGATGAACATCTCTTATCCCCTGTCCTGAGGCCCCTGGAGGTCTGCTGACAAAAGGATGGCTGCTCTGGTTTCTGAGGTTTAGCATTTAGTCCTTGGAGAACACTGGTAGGTCACCACATGAAGCTTCATTCATCATCTATCTGTATGCATCTCTGTGTAGAATTAATTGCAAGAACATCACCCAGTCCCTGCCTTCTAGCAGTTTTTTAAGGGCAATAGTGATAGACTAGGTAATATATCCAGAGTACACTAAAAACATCCAGGACATCTAGGATACACCAAAGAGCAGAGTACACATGCTGCTCACAGTATTGTTTATTATATACTAAATTGGTGCTGAGTGTGTGCATATTGGGTCCTGTTTTTCTGCATGTTTACACTTTTTAAAAAAATATATATTGATTTCAGAGAGAGGAAAGGAGAGGGAGAGACAAACAGAAACATCAATGATGAGAGAGTCATTGGGGATCGAGCCCACAGCCTGGGCATGTGCCCTGACCGGGAATCGAACTTCAATCTCCTAGATCCTAGGTCGAGGCTCAACCTCTGAGCCATGCCCGGCAGGGCTTTGTTTACACTTTTAAAATGAATGGTATGTGCCTACAGGGATCAAATCACATATCAGCAAAAAAACTTTTAAGGTTACATTTTACAGAGAAAAAAGATGCTTGTGAGAAACTATTAACCTTTAAATTGTGAAAGTAATATAGCAAATCAGTAGAGTCAATTCAGCTGGATGGCCTCTGAGAGTTTGTGGTTCTGACAATTTTCAATACATAATGAAATATATGCTATGAGAGAGACCAACAAGAAAAATTTCAACCTTAACTGGAATTCATGGTCAGCTTGTCAATAAATGCAAGCAACTGTCCCCCTTTGGAATTTAACCCTTAGGATCTACATTTCCTTTTCTCTTGAATATTCTTTTATCTGAGGACTGACCCAGCTGACCTTTTTATTAGCTTACATACAGCTTGCCTATGTGTTACTTTCTTTGCCTTTCTTGGTTGGAGTGATAGTTTTCCCACACCTGGGCTTGCTTCTTCACTGATCACTGCTATGCCTTTAAAAATATATTTAAATAAAGCTAATTTCATCAACTTACTCTTTTATCCTCAGTTTTTACTAACCAAATAATATCTTTAGGAATGAAAGCAACTACCCTTGCTAATTTTATGTGTTTGCTTTATTTTCTAATGCTATGCCTCTACTCCCCGAGACTTTCTCTTTCAGTCTTTGTGTCCCAAATAAACACGCACAATCCCTTTCTATTGATCTATATAAATACTGATCCCCAAACCTAGAGAACTCTTTACGGGAATAAGAAGGAAGCACAGAAGAAGTCTGTGCCACTGGGATGGAAGGCAAAATAACCACTGGAGCGCTAACCCCAAGTAGGAAGCCAGGATGACAATAGCTAGCATTTGTTGAGGACTTACTGCGTGCCAGGAAAGGTTCTAATGCTGTATTTAATTCCGTGATTCTCACCCAGTGTGCCAGAATTGTTAAAACATGCAGTACCCGACTATGCAGCCAGGGGCGCTCACTTCTTTTCCCTTAGATTGTCAAATTTAAAAAAATGACAACAGTCAACACAATAGCTGTCTGCTGTGAATGAATCAACATCATACCTTTTTTTTTTTTTTTTTTGTCAGATTGGCAAAAAAAAATACACTTTTTGGTGTGCCATAGAATTTTAGTAACTGGTTTACGTGTACCAGGAGATGAAAAGGGTTGAAAATCTCTGCTTGAGATGTGCCAAGCCATTCCAGCCTCACAGTAACCAGGAGACAGTATTGCCCCAAAAACAGAAGTGAAACAGAAGTGATCTGTCCAAGATCGCGCAGCAGAGCAGGTTCCAGGGCCTGCGCTTACACCGGCCCATCCTTAGTCACTGAGCTCATCATTCATTTGGTCACATTTCCTGCCACACAGGAGTGAGTCAGGAGGTGGCTCAAGAATGGCATCGATTATATCGAGGTCCTTACCACGTGCAGGAACCACGTCCATGAAATGAAACGGCTTTACAGGCATTACCAGGTTCAGTCCCCCGTTTCGGGGCTGAGGGAAGAGATTTCAGAGGGGTTAAGTAACTTGCTCGGAGTCCCGCAACTAACAAGCAGCCGGGCTGGGACTTGGAATCCAAAGTCCACGCGGCTCCACCACGTCGGACGAACACCGGCCGGGGAGGACCCGCGGGCGGCGACGTCCCCTGCCCGCCTCGCCCCCGCTTCCCCGTCCGCGGGGCGTCGCTAAGTCACCTTACGCTCCACTTTTCGGGACACAGACCTATTTACGTAAACGACACGGAAACGCAAGTAAATATAATTTTCCACATTTCTTGAAAATTCAAATGGCGGGGAAAGCGGCGGATCCCAGCTAGCCCGGGGTTCAGCTCCCACGCCCCCCACCCCCGGGCTCCGGGCGAGGGAGGAAGCGGCTCCGGAGGGAGCGCACAGTGACAATCGGAGAAGGAAAAGCAGCCTTTCCTCCCGGGGAGCAGGGGCCGGCGAGCGCGGGGAACCTGCAGAGGGCGGTTTCTCTCCTCTTTTCCTGTCCCACCCATCGGCCGGCCCCCGCCCCCCTCGCCGGCCTCCCCAGCTGACTCGGCGCGTCTCTCCGGGGCTTCCTG